AGTAATTTGGACTAAATTTGCAAGTACTGCATATAGCAATTTTGATGGGTCTGACGTGATTGTAGATATTTTGAGATCTCCCTTACATAAAATGTGTAATCGTTGACAAGCGCAACTGTTGGAAATGTAGTATACGGGCTGTATAAGATTTTGACGTCATTACTCATTTTGCTGCCTTCACTTATTTGAGTTATGTATGATGTCATTGGTAATGAGCTTGATAAATATATAATGAATGGTATATTTGTTATAATAATTATCAGCTTGTCTTACTTAATTAGCATAATCTCGAAGCATAGACAATAAACCGGTTGAATACGCAAAGTTAGCCCTGCCCGGAAGACGTAAAAATTGTATCTACTACTGTAGAATAACAGTTGTGTTGTATTTGATTAACATAATTCAGATAACATTGGGGTAACGTTTATGTTTATCAACGGTCTTTGCGTAAAACAATAGTTTTAATCATAATTCTACACCAATAATAGGCATAATTAATAGACTTTACGACAAATTTAACTTCTCGCGTCACATATACTACATGGAAAAAACCCTTATTTATTATTATTGCTTATTACTGATTATACAAAAATTTGGTTTAAACAATAATAACTTAAATTTAACAATTGAGATTAATTTTTGTGTCCTATTACTATCTACATGATATTAGACTTACAAATAAACTGTATAAAATGAATTCAAAGAAATATATTATACTGTTCCACTCAGTTTTTCTGACTGCCGAAGACGTTGGGAAACTGACCACAACCGTAGTCATAGCGCTAGGAGTAGACGTACCAGAAGTACTACTTGAGGTTGTGCTTGTTGTTGTCGATGTTGTTGTTGTCGAAGTTGTAGTGGGCCCAATGGGCCCAGAAAGCCCGATTTGGATGTTGGCATAGATGCTGTCCACATAATTAGGATTGCTCACAAGAAGACACCAATTGCCTGACGGAGGTGGAGGGGTGGGATTAGTCGAATCGCAGACTTGCACGCAGTAGTCATAACTTACCATATAATGTGTGAATAATATGATTGGTTAGTTTAGTAAATGTATTTATTATTATGCAATGTGTAACCACATCGGAATATTACTCCGAACATAAACTATTCTACAACAAATTATCAAATTTCTCGCTTTTCCACTTACCATGACATAGACTCTATAGTAATGTTATATTTGGTTGTAGTCGGGTCAAGGAAAACTTGAAGATCCGACGGAGATAAAACTTGCGCAATCAGCTCTCCGGTTGGACAAGATGTTTGATACACTGGAAGGCCAGTGATATTTACAACATTACCAAAGTATGCCGTCGTAGTAAGCGGTTGGCTTGTTGCGTTTACGATGAAAGCTATGTTTTTGTAGTAAAAAAAATTGTTGAGCATATGAATTCAACAATTTAGAATTAAATTATTTGACTGTACTTACTAAAATGACTAGCTTGATTACACATATATTTTTTAAAATTGTTATGATAAGTTAAAGTGTAATAGTGTAATAGTAATTGCGATTTTTAGACTTATACACAATCTACAGGAGGAAATGCAACGAGTTTGTGCTTTTGCCATGTTCCATTCTCATCTTACCATGCATATAAAGGTCCTAAGAAGATGTTGCCCGATAGTGGTTGAGCATCTACTGTCGTTATCTAAATGTAATAACAGTATTAAACGATTGAACGAGAATTCAACTCTTTTATCTTTTTTGACTTAGTTACCAAAAGAATCATCAATACGAATAAAATAAGTTTAATTATATTTTCCATACTCGGTTGGGTTTTACTTGAGTATATAAACAAATAATCAATTAGCCAAAAACCAGTTTTCATACGTTCCCATTATATGTGCGCGGTCGGAAACGTTGTCTATGTAGCAGCTTTAGTTTTGCTTTATATAAGTAACGATTGTACAACAGATTGTGAGTCAGGTGAGATTACCAAATATTAGTTTGCGTAACGGTGTAGATGTCGCATAGATTATCGTTATGCAGTACAAAATGCTTGATTTGGATCAACAATAGGCAAACAGAACAAAGACAGACGTTGTTCTAAGATTAAATTAAAGATACAGAATTTTAATATTAAACAAGTTTTCTATGGCTCCTAAATGCAGAACTAGAAACAATTAATTTTTTTTAATCACGGAATACTTTCTAATACTTCGAATAACGAGGCACATACGTACAGTCATATCCCCTTCAGTTATATCCCAACCTCACTTATATCCCAGCTTTGGCGCGGGACGAATTTCCTCATTCTAATTCCATATAAATATACCTCAGTTGTATCCCACTCAAATATATCCTTATCCCCAACTTTCACAACCTCAATTTCCCAATTTTATAGTTATCCAACCTCGTTTATTTACAGTGACTTGTACTCTATTTTCATGTACATTCAATTTCTCACATGTAAAAATTTTGAACTATGTTGCCTTTTTGTGTATTGTCACAAGTAATTTGGACTAAATTTGCAAGTACTGCATATAGCAATTTTGATGGGTCTGACGTGATTGTAGATATT